CTTTGCAAACAAATAAACCCAGCCTTGCAAACCGTCGTCGACGGGATCCTAAGGGCAGCGGAAGGGTTTGGTGTTGAGCCTGGTGGAGAACCGGTGTTTGGGAATGACTTGCATGAAACACGAGGGTTAGGAGGAGCTGGCTGTGTAACAAGAAAGAAGTTCCAGGACCTGCATTTGCCGCGGCCCTGTGACGGGATGCTCAGCGTGCTCACCATGCTCAGGTTCCACACCCTAATTCTCCTGGTTACTAAAAACACAATTCCAGCTGAGCGAGCGAGCGTCTCAGACATCTGCTCCGCCTGCTCCTGTCTCTCTCCCGTTGTCAATCAAATTTCCCTACCTTCCTAATTAAAATACAAACAACGACACCCTCCACCCCCACTCCGTTTCTGCATCATCTTCCCCATTGTACCATCGTTCTTACATTTCATGTTTCTCGCCGATTTGCGCATATATGTGCTTCTTATGTAAATTAAAATAAATAACACCCTGCAGGTGGTCCTCTGCACCCATGGGTTCCGAATCTGCAGATTTAGTCAGCCATGATTTACAAACATTTGGGGGAAAATTATGTGTCTGTACTGAACAAGTACGGGTTTGTCTCTTGTGGTTCCCTGTTCAATGTAACAGCTCTTTGCATAGCATTTAGATTGCGTGAAGCACCAGAAGTAACCTAGACATGTTATAAGGGACACAGGAGGATTAATGTGCAAACACCATGCCGTTCTATACAGGGAACCTGAGCGTCTGCAGATTTTGGTATCCAAAGGGGATCCTGGAAGCAGTTCCCAGGGTGGCAAGGGACAACCGGACATTGCTTGTCACCTATCTCTTCTTTGTTTCTCCTCGTCATCTATAATGGTATCAGTGTTTTTTGTTACTGTTGTTTCCTTTATTCCCAGGACACTGCTGTCACAGGCTTTACCGTCCCTGTCCTCAATTCCTGGTGACTTTTGAACAAGCCTCTCCCTTTGCATTTACTGTACTATGTAGGTAGCCGGTCCTGCCTGCCAGGTACACAGTGGACACTCAAAAAGTCCCTTGCCGAATGAACGTGGGGGTGGGTGGTGGGGAGTTGGGTGGGGTGGGGTGGGTGGTGGGTGGGGTGGTGGAGCAGATGCAAGATAAATGGCCGTGGACTGCCCAGCTGAAAGGAAGAAGCGTGAGGGCTCATTCATTCAATTATAATTCACCGTTCGTTTATTATTTTCAAGTGAAGCATCCGTTGGTGATGCTGGACACTCCAAATGGGGGCATCTGGGATAGAATAGCCAACCAATTTCAACCACAGAACAAAGGAAATTCCTTCCACTTGTGGACATTAGAGGGGGCAATGTCTAAGCTTCGAGGGGAATTGTGTTTGAGTTTAGCCGATTGATGAACGTACTAGGTAGGATGTGAACATGTCTGACCCTTTGTACAGGAACAGCATCTGTGATCTAGCATTCCAGACTGTTTGCTTATGTACATAAAAAATGACTTCATGGGACAAGGGTTCGAGGGAGGTTAGCCCAGGAGTTGTGGGCGCTGACTTCATTCTGGCTGCTTTCTGCTGAAGTTGGGGTGTTGTGTGGGTCAAGCGTCCCTGCCCCCAGCTTCAGCTTCTCCCATTTGGTCAGTTGGTGACCCTTGAGTCCGGGCTGGTGTCTGCACTGTACACCAGGAGCTTGCTGCCCATGGGAGCCCGTGTAGCGTGTTGGCCAGCGGTCTGGATGAGAGGCCTATGGGCGGATATAAGAATCCAAATGGTTGTTGGGGATCACCAAATATTTGTGACTTCTGTAGAAATCAGGATGATTTTATTATTATTTTTTAGACAGGGCCTTGCGATCCAGCCCAGGCTGAGCTCAAACTGTTCATCCCCTCCATAGCCCGGGGGAGGCAGCTCGGGAGCTGCCTGCCTCCTCTTCAGGAGTGTCCATTCAGGGCTGCTTCTGTGGGCACACAGCCCCTCCCCCCTCCCTCAGCTCATCCCCCTTCCTATCTCGGCACAGGCTGCACTCGGCTCCCAGTCACCGCATTGCCGTGGACGTCTCCTGGGCAGAACTGAGTTACAAAATAGCAGGAATGGGGATCCATCCTTCACAAGGGCCAGGGGCGAACCCCAAGTCGAGCTGGAACTATCAAGCTCTGAAGACAACTCACATAGATACACCTCAGACCAGAGCCCAGACACAGAGATGGAAAGTGCTTCAACTCGTGATACAGATTCTAGAAACCTGTGGAGTGTTAGGCAAATCCATTTTGAGTAATACCTTGTATAAGAAAAAAAGAAAAGGCCCCTGTCAATCAGAGGCTGGGTTTTGATATACACAAAGATGGCAATTCATGTGGAGACACAATTTAGAAGCACTTAGGTATGCGTAGTTGGTTTCCTAGGGGAGGGGCTGGTGAGGAAACCAGCATCCTGCAAAATAGGAGCAGGCCTTAGTGTGAGATTTGCAAACACTGCTGTAGATACACATAAGGTGATAACATCTCTAAATATTTGGCCTTACCATTGTCTGTGGCTTTACTTGAAAATGACAGGGGACAGCACCCAGAATTCTTAGAACCCATAAAACTGCAAATATTGGGATATATACATGTAAATACACACACACACACACACACACACACACACACAGAGAGAGAGAGAGAGAGAGAGAGAGAGAGAGAGAGAGAGAGAGAGAGATCTAAGGAATTAAACATTGCTGTCATGTTGTAAGCATGCTTGCTTGCATTCAGACCTTCCCCAGTGCAGTGAGATCTTTAGGTAGCAAGTCAAAACAAACAACAAAAACCTGAACCCAGCTTAGAAAACAGAAGGGAACCAAACTCTGTCTCGAAAAACAAACAAACAAAAAAACAACAAAAAAAAAAAAAAAAAAAAGAGAGAGAGAAGAAAACAGAAGGGACATTGATCGCGTGATTGCTTCTCTTCTTAGAGAAGAGAGGGTGGTGGGGTGGTTTTAGGCTGCCGAATGTGATGTACGGTACCACTTTCCACGCAACAGTCCAGAGGATGGCAGTTCATGGCCGTCTGCAATGCTTCCCTTCCCCCACTGTGTCTGAGGAGACTGACGGTTCTTGTCGTCTTTCAGCAGTAGAAGGTTTGGACTGTGGGGTGACGGGTAATTACAGCACCATTTCTTTCAAGGAAAAGTTATGATGTCGTTCTCATCACTTCTTCTGACTATACCTATTGAAGTGATGACCTGCTGCAGAGTACTCTGGGAAATGTAGTCCTCAGCCTGCCAGCCTTATCCAATAAGATGCTATCCACATTGTCTAATAAGTGTCTCCGATTTTGGATTTCTTCCTATTTTGGAATATTTGCATATACTAAAGACAACTTGGATGGTGGGGCCGGGATACATTCTAGATACAAAATAATGTATGCTTCATATACGCCTCATTGTGCATAGCCTGAGGGGAGTTTTATACAGTGTTTTCAGTAATGTGTATGAACCAGCAAAGTAGAAATTCTGAGTTTTCAAGAGAGTCTCTAATTTCAGATTAAGGATACTCAGCCTGTACCTCTGCAGGATAGAAGAGCAGAAATTTGAGGGGAGCCTGTAGCCTCTGGCACCACTCAGGACCTCCCAGAAAAAGCAGAAGTGATCATGACCTCTCGAAAGGGCTTTTTGCCAGGTTCCCTGAGCAGCAGGCCCCATTGTCCAAAGCCAAATTCCCCACAAAGCAGAAGGCAATTTAGGAAATGACACAGGCCCCCTGGCTGACTCATACTCTGAGCATCCTGGAGAGAGAGGCGGCAGCAAACACCCATCTGGGGTTCGGGGCTTAGCATCTAATAATAATAATGACTTTGGCGCGAAGAACTTCCTGAGGGTTAGTGAATGACCGGCTTGGAGTAATAGCCCACATGGCTGCCGAAGCCCATCAGCTCTTCCCAGCGCCGTGTTAATCTACAGGAAACTTTTTGTGCACCCAGCGGTTCCTGCTTCAACCTGGCACGGTGAAAATGAATGGACGTGTCATTGGAACGTGGGGAGAAAGAACTTGGTCACTATTATGTGTGGTCAACATGCAGCTTTTTTTTTTCTCCAGGCACATTTCCTGCACTTCCTTTTCTTTGTTACTTTTGATACGGCGGTGGCAGCGGGGGTGGGTGGTGGTGGTGGTGTGTGTGGGGAGTGGGGTGGGGTGGGGGTGGGCAGCGGGCCGCTCTCTGGATAAGCTTCGACCCTCCTGCCCTTCACTTTGCGCTACTCTTCCATGCCTGGGGTTGCCTTTCCAGCTGGAGTGGGAACTCCATCAGGCAGAGTCAGCCCGGGACTCCCAGCTCCACAGAGCCCAGCAACTGCTCTGGCACTACTTGTTGGCTGGTTCTTAACCCAATACGGACCGGACCGGAGAGACGGCTCCACTGCTCTTGCAGAGGACCTGGGTTTGGTTCCCATCGCTAAGATCCCATGGAATAACTTGCTTGTCACTGTAGCTCAGGGAACCCGACGCCCGTGGCTTCTGAGACACCTGCACCCGTATATTACATCAGACACGTAATTATCAAATAAAACTTTAAAAAAAAAAAGAACCTAACACAACAGTGACAGCATTTTAAATGGTCCAGCGCATTGTTCAAAGCATGCCCGTGGGAATGGGTGTGTAGCTGTATTTAAGGCATTGTGTTTTTTAGTTCACTAAGATCCAATCAGAGTTTCCCAAAAGAAGCTAGAAGCAGAGAGGCAAAGATGGAGAGGTAGTTCCAGATGAGGATGTCTGATGCTGTCCCAGTGCTGGGGATGTGCTGGGACAAGTGGTCACCCCTGGGCTTGCAGGCACCTCTGATTACTCCTAACCAGGGAGTCATCGACCAAACAAGCATGTTTCCTTCAGCGAATCCCCTACTGTCACGCAGGCTATCAGAGTGTATGGATGGTGGCAGCTTTTCTCTGCCATGCAACTTAATTTTCTTCTCTCTCTCTCTCTCTCTCTCT